GTATCCATGTATCCATATATCCGTGTATCCATGTATCCATGTATCCATATATCCATATATCCATATATCCATGTATCCATATATCCATATATCCATGTATCCATGTATCCATTTATCCATTTATTCATGTATCCATTTCTTCATGTATCCATATATCCATGTATCCATGTATCCATGTATCCAGGTATCCATGTATCCATATATCCATCTATCCATGTATCCATGTATACATGTATCCATCTATCTATCTATCTATCCATCTGTCCATCTATCCATCTATCCATCTATCCATCTATCAATCTATCCATCTATTCATCTATCCATCTATCCATCTATCCATCTATCCAGCTATTCATCTATCCATCTATCCAGCTATCCATCATTCCCTCTATCCATTTTTCCATCTATCCATCTATCAATCTATCCATTTATCAATATATCCACTTATCCATACATCGGCCTATCCACATATCCACATATCCATATATCTATCCATCCACCCATCTACCCATCTATCCATCATTCCATCTATAAATCTATCCATCCATCCAACTATCCATCTATCCATCTTTCCATTTATCTAACTATCCACCTATCCATCCACCCATCCATCCATCTGTCAACCCCTTCAACTATCAACCTATCAACCTATCCATCCATTTGTGTACATCACCCACATTCTGAAATTTCATGTCTGTGTACATCACCCACACACTGGTAGTTCATTTTTGTGTACATCATCCACACACTGGCAGTTCATGTCTGTGTACATCATCAAAACATTTGCAGTTCATGTCTTTGTACATCACCCACAATGGTAGTTCATGTCTGTATTCATCATACACACAATTGCAGGTCATATACATCATCCACACACTGGCAATTCATGTCTGTGTACCTCATCCTCAAACTTGCAGTTCATGTCTGTGTACATCATCCAAACAATGGCAGGTCATATGTGTACATCATCTACACACTGGCAGTTCATGTCTGTGTACATCATCTACACACTGACAGTTCATTTAACAATTCACATTTTGTGCACTGTCCAATATGAGTCATAAAATGAACATATCAATATGTTCACATGTCAGTAATTTGACATTAAAATATGCTAACTTAACATTCGAGGAACTATACAACATATAGACAACATGACTGGCATAACAATATTTGGACAAATGTGGATGTTAGGTTAATGATGACATAACAATATATGCACATATAATATGTGAATATTATGGCATGAGGACATATCAATATATGGACATATCAATATGTGGATATTATGGCATGAGGACATATCAATAATAGCAATAGGTTCACGATTCATTAAATTTACATTAAAATATGTTAACATAACACTACAATGACTATACACCATATAGACAACTTGGTTGGCATAACAATAAGTTGATTTGTTTGTAACTTTAAATTACATTTTAATAATACGATATATTATGTGGGGCAAATAAGTTCCACAATAAAGATATTGAATAGCATATATATATATATATATATATATATATATATATATATATATATATATATATATATATATATATATATATATATATATATACCGGTATATATATGTGTGTGTTATTCAATATATACATTCGTTACCTCAACACTTTTATCAAACTAAAAAGCAACTAGGCATGTTATTCAATATATACATTCGTTACCTCAACACTTTTATCAAACTAAAAAGCAACTAGGCATTTCAACTAACAAGCAATATGCCCTACTATTTTAACTCACATGTTTGTAAAGCGAATACATTGACTACACACCATGGCATGGAAGGATCACATCGTCTGTCCACATGAAGCGTCACTACATAGTGCACACAGTTGGTTTGACTCAATGATCCCATTGTCTGTGCACATGAAGCGTGATTACATAGTGCACACTGTTGGTTTAACTCAAGGATCAAATCGTCTCTCCACCTGAAGCGTCACTACATAGTGCACACTGTTGGTTTGACTCAAACTTAAACTCTCAAACTCTTAAAATCGTACAATATCATCAAAAAATCGTTCAATACGTTATAGTTATAGTAAAAAAAAAACATACAGTTTATACAATCTATACACCTCAAAATCGTCCATTGTACGCCAAAATCGTAAGAGTAAACAGGTCTGGTATAAATCCTTTATAAGCATTTGTTATTATTTTATATTAATATACTAATCTCCAACCCAATTTTACACCGCCAATTTACTACACCAACTGTTAAAAACAAAAGAAAATATTACGCACCAAACGCGTGTGCGATATTTTTTTAATAATTTATTTAGCGCAGTTATCTGGAATTTTTGTTCATGAAATTGATGTGTCATATTTCCTTCATCGTCCCCTCGAAAAAATAACATTATTTGTGGGGGTTGGTGGGGGTGGATTAGATAGTGTGTCTTGTCATCGGCAACAAGTTTACGTGCCAAGTTTCAGCTCGGAAGTAGGTCTTCAGTCATCTGAAGATTTTGCAATAAACCTAGCCAAAAAGAAATACACAAACAAACGTGAAGAGGTTTTAAATAAACTAATTCATAATCTACATTTTTTTTTTGTTTTTTTTTTTTGGAAGAATTAAGTCCGGGTACGTTTCACAAAAAAAATTATATTTTTCAATAAAATAAAAGGAAAGGCAAATAATTAAACGAGTCTTCTCGACTTCTCGTCTAACTACTTTGCACTGTGTAAACAAAGAAAGAAAAATGTAAAATTGGCATTTTTCTTAAAGCTCTACGAAGGAATTATTATTTATCAGACAGATATGTCACGTGTATAAATAAAAATCGTTAGCTACTTTGTAATAATAATGCTTGAATCAGTACGCGCTATAATAATAATACTTAGTTTTTATTAATTATTATTATTATTGAAGATAATAAAATTGAAATGCTTTAGAAAAAATTAGTGCTAAAAATTATCGAATCTCATGTTCAAGCTCAGCCTCAGATCCTATCAGCCACTCAACAACAGTGCCATCCACAGTCCATACGGCAGACATCTGATCAAGGAAGTTACTTAAAATTAACGCAGAGAGTGATGGGAGCATTTTATAGTCCATGTCTTTATTAATCATTTATGTCTTGTTAAAAATCACCAACGCTACATCTTTTTAATAATTTTAAAATAATGAACAGGTGCTGCACAATGGTGTTTTTTTGAAGACATAAGAGCAACATATCAGGATCCAAAACTCATGTCGCAAGGGAAGAAACTCCACGCTTTAGTATTCTAGGTAATAAGTATACTTATTATTTTTATTTTTACTTCAGAATTACAAAAACGTGATAAGAAATACAAGAAAGACCCAAAAGAGAGTCCGTCAAATATGTTTTCTTAAGGCTAAGTAACGATTTCTCTCTCTCTTTTTTTGCAATATGAATTGAAATCTTTGTATTATTTATTCAATGTGTACAGAAAAAATTATCAGGGTATGTTTTAGCTTGAATAATGACCAAATAATTTTTTTTATGGAAAAGACGCCATCATCAGCAGACACACTTAGTATTGCCTTATTGAACGTAAAAAAAAAAAAAAAAATAGTTCTGTTTACAAAAATGTTATCTCTTTGAGCTTAACAAAAACTTTTCTTTGGCTGCACTTAAAAAAAATGTACATATTCAAATAATTTTTTTTATGGAAAAAACGCCATCAAAAGAAAAAAAAATTAGTATTGCCTTATTGAAAGTAAAAAAAAAAAAAAAAAAAATAGTTCTGTTTACAAAAATGTTATCTCTTTGAGCTTAACAAAAACTTTTCTTTGGCTGCACTTAAAAAAAATGTACATATAAAATGTATTAAAAAATAAATATATTGGTAAAAATAAATCACAAATTAACCTTGACACTATAATTTTACCAATCATAAAATTTTAAACACATACGGTTTCCATAATTTCAGTTCACTATTTGAAACGAGAATACCACAAATGTATTGCTTTTCCATTAAATTTGATGTATAAAAGAATTACAATACAATGAAATAAAACTATATTTTCAATTTTTCGTCAATTTTAATGGGGCATTAAATGGATTGTTGTAGGTATAAAACCCAGGACATGCACAAACGTGTAATTTATAATTCAAGACAACAGTAATTTTATGGTCTAGGTGACATAGCTCAGTGAAAAAAAATTATAATGTTGTGTTACCGGAAAGTTTTTTTGAAAGAAATTTGGTAGATGGAAAATTGATCGACGGAAAATTGATCGATGGAAAATTGATAGACGGAATGATCTTGTGTGACTTACAATTACAAATGTTATTTTTATTTTCATCATACATATAAAACATGAAAAAGACAGTGAATTTGAACTCACTGTTGTGATGAATGCATACTGGCAGAAGATGTCACTTTGATAAATTAAATTTAATAGTTTAATAGTGAACTGAGTTTTAGATTAAATTTTAATTCGTTTTTAATTTTTAAAAACAATTTTAGTTCAACAGTGTGATATGTCAGAGGTAGTGGAGGGGGTAAAAATTGTCAAAAAATTGCACTACGTACATTATGGATGCCCCCTTAAATATGTTTGTTCCCTGTTTGAAATATTTTTTGCAGCATTTTTTTTTTGCGTGCTTCATTTCAGTTTAGCCTCGATTTTTTGCAGCATTTTTTTTTTTGCGTGCTTCATTTCAGTTTAGCCTCGTGTATTTTACACAAACTTTCTATGAGCTAAGTTTATTTTTGATTTTCATACATCTGCAGGGCCTTCTTAGAAGAAGTAGGCTTTTAACTTTTAATCAGGTACGTCATTTCATTTAAGGGAGTGGGGGGGCAAAAAAAGCAAATCTTAGCCGGCTTGTTGAGCAGTTGTTTATTACTGGAGGCGCCACAGTACCTAGCTAAAGGGCTGAAAATGTCCCCCCCCCTCCCCCAACCAATGTCCTCCCACTAAATGACGATAGTGCTTTTGATCGATACGGTCATTTCACACACTTTCTCATTCTGTGTGATTTATGGTCTCCTGGCGTTATTTAGCTATCTCCTCCACAACAATGGCGCTGTCCAGTGGTTGTTCATGTAGACTTGCTCCTTCGATTTTGAATGCTGACTTATCAAATTTAGCTGTAGAGTGTCAAAATTTGGTTGATGCTGGATCAGATTATCTCCACCTCGACGTAATGGATGGGCATTTTGTCCCAAATCTGACTTTCGGACATCCCGTCGTTAAATGTCTACGCCCAAAGTTGCCAGGTGTTTTCTTCGAAATGCATATGATGGTCTCGGACCCTGAAAAAGTAAACAAAAAATATAGGCCGGGTCAATTCATACAATTTGTGTAATAGCGTCATTTTGTGATTTTGTTAAAGTTTCGTTTTAGATTCACTCTCCTTGTTACTAGAGTTAAATTTTTCTTATATGATGTTTATGATGGTTGACCTTTAAGTAGGGGTGTGCCGGATCCGTTTTTTCCAACCGGATCCGGATCCGGATTTTCTTATGCGAAATCCGCCGGATCCGGATACCGGTTTCTCCCGGATTCCGGATTTTGGTACTATTGGTAGATACTTCGGTAAGTCAAGGTGGACTACTACTTTTTGTGTATGGGAATTCGCAATCGGCGCCAAAAAATCCGAGTTTTTAATTTTCCGATGTGTGTGTCTATTTATTATTAAATTAGTACTTTCGATATATATTTGAGTTCCGTTCCATTTGGATAAGTGTCTTACGAGAGACGCCATGTTTCTACGCGTTCGCAGCAGGTCATGCAGCTCGCTCAACCTAATTTCGCCATGGGGTTGGCCACGCCCCCCTTTTTAATGGCGGAAGTTGACGATACTTAGGAAATATTAATTTATTATCACTATTTACATCAAAATAATTGATAACTTGTGTTTCAGAATGCATTTAAAGACATTTAAACTGGAATGTTTTAATTTGAGCTTTAACAACCCGGTAGAATCCATATTATAAATGATCAGAATTTACCGTGTGCAACACGTTGTCATTGGCAACCATTCACAGCCACTTGCATAACTGTATCGTAGTACTACCTCAGAGTTTCATTCATAAGAGTTTGCCGTGTGCAAAAACTATTAAACCATTGGTCAGGGAAAGCTTTAATTAATTATTCATGTGCCAAAGTTGAAAGTTTAAACTAAGTCTAAACAGTATTTTAGTGATAAGGCAGGGAATGCGTTGCCTTATATAAACTATATAGTCATTGCGCATGACGGGATTGGTGGAATGAGATCACAGAATGTGGAGATGCAGTCCATGTTAAAAAATGACAAACCAAGTCGTACTTTAAAAATTCATAACTTTAAAACTACAACAGCTAAAAATATGATTTTGGTGTTATAATTCTTTAAAAAATTACATCTTTTCAACTATGCCATTGGTTTATTTTTACAAAAAGTTTAAATTTTCTTATCAAAGTCCCTACACTATTGGCCACTATTAGCGGTGCTGACTCTAGCCTCTGGTATGTACGGAATATTAAACATTAAACAAGCTCAACGCTCGAAACAATCGATTAATGTATCGTGATCGTGTGAAATTCGGGAAAGAGAATTACTTTTATTTCAGATTATGATCCGGTGAGTCACAAAATCTGGCAAATTCCGAAATCCGGTATATTCCGGAATCCGGTTGTTCCGGATACATGTAAATCCGGCGGAACCGGATTTCACCGGATAGTGCAAAATCCGGCGGAACCGGATTCCGGACCGGGGTCCGGCACACCCCTACCTTTAAGCCTTTAAGTCTTAAGGTCTATTCATACAATTTAGGGCTATATAGGGTAGGCTTATAGTTATAGGCTAAGTAACAATTTATCATTTTAGTTAATAAGTTAGGCTAACTAAAATTTAAAATACTAGATAATAAATGGTCTACAAACTTGGGTGAATGTTGGGTCGGCACGCCACTAATTTCCTATGACAGCCACCTTTCTTGCCAAGATGCCGGCCATGTAAACGCAAAAAGTAGCACAAACACACATCTGCTAAATTGGGGAGGGGGTATATAGAATTTGCTGTTTTAGCTACTTACCGATAGAAACAAAAATAGAAACAAAACTTTAAATTTAATTAAATAATATCAACCGGTAGATTAATATTGTGGCCGTGGCAAACGTAGCAAATTTATTTTAGGCTATCCCTCTAGATATGGGGCAAGAAGTGTCAACAACCTGCCATTCCTCCCTTCACTTAACTAAAACAGGTTTGCTACACTAGTTACTCACTGTGTTGAGAAAAGTGTAAAATAATGAAAACCTAACTTACAGTTTAGAAAACACTTTTACAAACTTAAAAAGTTCCACCTAAAATGAGAAATTTATTCTCATTTTTTTAAATTTTCTTTAGATTTTCTAATCACCCATCCAATGAAATATTAATTTACAACATTCCATAAGGGTATTAATAGTTTAAAAGTTAATTCTAGTAACAATCCAAGAATAAACAAAAGCAAGAGAATCCTACACAGAAACACAAAGTGGTGTGATGAACCAACATTAGCCTTAACTTGTTTTGACAAGGGCCAGTAAGAAAATAGCTACAGGCCGGATGGATTGTCTCGTTCTGCTAAAATGAAGGTCTAATGGGCACTTATGACTAATGGGCCTATATAAATTAAATGAAATTAATTAATTATAAAAAATATTTAACAAAATTATATTCCATAAAAAGAAAATTTAAAAGACATGCTCTTTACATTAATTTAATTGAGATTAAATTTAAATAAATTAGGACCAGGAGGCTTATATTAATATATATAATATATATTATTCGTATTAGATGGAAACCTTTGAATTGCACCTTCATCCTTTTGCACATCAGTTAGAAGCACGACGCAGATGCTTTTCTTACACTAATTCTTCTGTCACTTCAAAAAAACTATTGATATTGCAGGCTGGATAAATTGAATTCGTTAGCCAACCTCTGTACAAGATATGTGATTGTTACAGCGTAAATGAGTTAATGATTTGATATGTAGCAATATTGAATTTCAAGTGGATTACAAACACAATGTTTAGGAAAGTTGATTGCTGTGAATGAGTCAATGACTAAGAAGCTAGACAAAAATAACATTCTATTGATAAATTTAGCTGAAAAGGCAGTTCAAGCTGAGACAGGCCTAGCAAGCTGGCAATGAATGTAAAAGTGCTCAAGTAAATAAAAATTGAGAAGACAGTGGATGCTGCTAAATGGAAGATGGCCTGGACACAGTAAAAAAACTTTAACTCACTTTGTCGCCTCCCCGGTAGAAGCATCCGGAAGATTATGATTGATTCATTCTTTCTATGAATCAATGTTTACCATAACCAATTTTTTTTTAATTAGTTAAAATTGTATCAAAGAATCATTTATTTATTTATTAAGTTAGTTGCTTTGAAATCAATGATCAAACATATTTTGTTTATTTGTATTCCCTTGCCAGTGGATTGAGGGAATGGCTGATGCTGGGGCAAATATGTACACATTTCATTATGAGGCTACAAAAGATCCAGCTGCATGCATTCATAAAATTAGAGAGGCTGGTATGAAAGTAAGCCATTCTTTTTTATTTGTTTAAATTAAGTAAATTTTCTTTGCCCTACCAATATGGTTAGGAATGTGTTAATTTTTTTTTTGTAGTCATATCTAAGTTATGAATATTAATTTATATCCTGCATGCAAATAAAAATAAAATAATTCTGATCACCTGTAATCCTTATTTTTATGGCAAACCCCCTCCCCCCCCCTCCCCCCCAATTTTTCAATCTTTTATTTATATTATTTGGTGGATGATAGACTTTGCCTATTAAGACAATTAGTAATCTTCCCACAAAGCTTTTTCTGAATTTTAAAATTTGTTATGCATTATCAGACTGACAGCTTATAGTGTTAATAGTATATAGTTTTAGTTTGAAGTTTCTAGGATAACTGAAAAATGCCTCATTATATACCAACACACACAGGCTGGAATGGGCATCAATCCTCCCACAGATGTTGAAGTTGTACTTCCCTATATTGACCTGCTTGACTGTGTTCTGGTCATGACAGTTAACCCTGGATTTGGTGGTCAAAAGTTCATGGCTGAATGTTTACCAAAGGTCTGTTCCTTCTTAATCCTCTATGCAATTTGGAATTTAATCACCTCTGAAGACTAATATTTATTTGTGACTACACCAACAATTACTTCTGTATAGTTTATATTCGATCACATTAACAGTCACCTTGATATTTATGACATTGCACCAACAATCATTTCTGTAAAATCTATATGTGATTACTATGATTACATGAATAATCACTTTAACTATATGCTATTCTCTCACTGTATTGTTTACATGCTGTTTTGCCAAGAATCACCCTTGTATCGTTTGTACCTTTTTTCAACAGATTCAGTTCTTGAGGGAGAAATTCATAAATTTGGACATCGGGGTGGATGGTGGAGTTGGTCCCAGTACCATACAGGAATGTGCAGATGTATGTCGACGAAGTCAAAAAAAATTACTGATCTTAATCTCTTTCAATTTGGTCTTAACTCTTGGAATCTAGGCCAAGTTTCAGCCAACCAACTGTATGATTTTTTTATTCCAAATGTTTTTATCTGCGGAAAATCATTTGCGCATTTCAATGCACCAAAAGACCCACACAGATCTTTTGACTTAGGTCATCCAATGTAAAACTGCAGACAAAGAATTACTTACAATGTGAAATATATCACTAACAGAGTAAGGCAATCCTTTGTTAACTATACAACATAAAAATCTGACATCATTCCCCCCGATTATGCCATAGCATGGTGAATAGATATTATCACTCTTGAGTCCTTCTCTAAGGTGGTATTGCCATCTTTTTCTACCCATATTCTAGAGAAGGCCTATGAATATATTTATTATATCTGCCTTTAGTGACCTTTTTTTCCCTAGATTTTTCACTCTTTCATTTTACCAAAGCCCATCAAAGGCATTTCAACTTATGGAAAAATAAACTTGGATATTGCTCTAAGTCTTTAGCTAATGATAACTTTAACAAATCAGTAAACTTTAGTCAACAAATTTAGGTAATGCATTCAATTTGGATGTCAAATAACCCTGAACTCGTTCACCCGTCCTCACAGTTTGGGGAGTACTCATATTAAACTTGTATTGTTAAAACAATTTTTTTTAAAACTTTTTTTCCCCCTCCATCCTATCAGGCTGGGGCAAACCTGATTGTTTCTGGAAGTGCACTGATTCAACATAAAAACAGAAAACAGTGCATCGCTGACATGAGAAGTATTGTAGACCAAGCACTACAGAGGAGATAACACAGATAAGACATTTTTAGCTTAGCTGAAAGTTTTTTTTGCCTTCCTAGTATTTAATTGAGCTCACTTTTGTATTATAATTTTGTCAAGTTTCAAAAAGAAAACCATATCCCTCTCACTTCAGGTTAAAGTTATGATTTAATACTTCAAACTTTGTAAGGACCATGTCCCATGCCCATGAGTTTATATTCTGAATATTTTCAAAAGTACATGAGGATCTAGAATTCAAAGATGGCTATTTCTAAAGTGGGTTTGGGTTAAAGTGTTAAGGGAAATTATTTAAGATGGTTTGATTTAGAACTCTCCTCTTTGAAACAGTATCTGAAAAGAAACTGATTCATATTTTGATGAAGACAGATCTATCTTGTTCCGTTTTATTTTAATATGTGAGCTTTTGCTTACAGTACAGGTTTAAGATTTTGTTCTCCAATGTAGATTGACTTTTGTTGGCACTTATGGTATTTATAAATGGGTAACACTGTATTTCATAGGATGCCTTTCATGTAGCTGAATGTTAGCTTTAAGTATGTGAAGGTTTTAGATTTAAAAACTTACCTCTTGCATCTGTATGAAGAATTCAAAACAAATTCAGTTGGTTGATATTTGCTGGAGGAACATTATCTTTAGTTTAAAGAAAGTCATACTCTTAGAAAATATAAAAAATTTGTTGACAAATAAGTTGTTTGATTGATGTGAGTAAATTTTTGTAAACTAATGTGCAATGGTTTATGTAAATTTTGTTGTTGTTTTTTGTGCATCAAGCTGAACTCTTTTTTTTTTTCTTTTTTTTTTTTTTTGGAGAAGATTGATAATATCAAAACAAACTACTGATTGACATTTGATGTTTCTAAAAGACTGTATTTACACTTGATCAGATTGATGTAAATTAAGTTGTTTGATTGATGTGAGTAAATTTTTGTAAACTAATGTGCAATGGTTTATGTAAATTTTGTTGTTGTTTTTTGTGCATCAAGCTGAACTCTTTTTTTTTTCTTTTTTTTTTTTTTTGGAGAAGATTGATAATATCAAAACAAACTACTGATTGACATTTGATGTTTCTAACAGACTGTATTGACACTTGATCAGATTGATGTAAAGACAATTTTATCAAACCAGAGCATGGCAATCACTTTGTGTTGTTTCTTAACATGAGGATATCATCTAATTTAAAAACTAAAATCCGCATCCACACACACACAGCTTTTTTTAACATTTCTTCACAAAGCGAACTCTGTCGCATTTTTAAGAAGTTAACCTAAGGTATTTAAAATCTTATACTTATATTTTTATATTGCTTAAAGTAACCAATGAGGATATCATTATGCCATGAATTTCCCATGCTTTATTTAGAGTTGTGAGATAACTTTTCTATAAAGAAAATATAAACCCCTGTATGAACTCTTCACTCCCCTCCCCCCCCCCCTTTTTTTTTGTTTTGTTGAAAATTCTGTGACCTTGAAATATGTCAAAAGGTATAAGCAGCCCCAAAAAGCACACTCTGAAATGTAAATGTTCAGATATTGTGAACTAAAATTTTTCCATACCCGGTATTAATGGTAATGCCAAACAAGTGAGTGATTTTGTTTTATTTCAGCTATCAGAATTAAACACAAAATAGATGCGTGATTGACTTCACAGGAGTCAGTTTATAAAGAATAAAGGTGAAGTGGGCAAGTTAAAGGCCTTGCAAAAAAATTCACCAGAGGCTAGAGATTCAAATGAATTGTATCAACACAAAAAAACAATTTAAAAAAATGAACATTCCTACCAGGGAAAGCTGCACAGTTGTGTCCCCCAGAAAATGTAAAGCTTGTTTTTACAGAATGCCATAAGTAAATGTACAAGTGTCATGACCTGGCTAGTCCATCAACCTTGACTTAAGACATTTAACATCATGTAACTAGAGCTCTGCATATCATGTTTTGTGCCATGATTGTGAGTAACCTGGATAAAGTAATCTCATCAAATAAAGAAATGATGTTTTTAAGAAAATAAATAATGACATTTGTGAAACAAATCCTGTATATATTGTTAGAATTATTAAAATTATAATATGCCTGTGCCCAAAGAATTTTTTTTGAGTCTTTCTCTTTTTTTTTTTTTTTATAACTGCTTTAAAACTAACAATTTATCTCTATTCCATATATTTCAATACCAATTAATTGTTCATTAAATTTAAGAGATTAAATGTCTTTCTGTTGGGATTTTGATGTTCTTAACATTTTAGTATTACTGATATAAAAGTATGACTTATCTCTCTGGTTCTGCAGGGAATATTTTGCTTTTATTTTAATTTTAAAGAATTTATTATCGCTCCACCACTTAAGTATGAAAAAAAAAAGAAGGAAATATCCAAGATTTGAAAAAACTATTTTGTAACTATTTATTATTCTCCAGTAAATCTTATGCATTTATTAATTTTGTAAATAAATATTATGAAACTATATTTCTGTTTCCCATTGCATTGCTTTTTTTTATGTTTAAGTCTGAAGAAACTGTAACAGAAATTCTCAATAATATTTTTTATACAAAATTTTTTTGATAAAATAAAAAATAGGAGTGAAAGCTTTCAGATAAAACTGAGCTGAATTCTTACTCTCAACTTGGAATCAGTAATGCAATTTTGCTCCTGAGATCCCATATTAATTTTTTTTAAAATGTCTATGCCATAGGGATATTTGAAACAGCTTTGCATATAAAAGTTCTTCTGTTCTTCTCAAACATAAAAATTTCAGTCTAAATCCCAATATTCAATATGGTAATAGGCACATCTTTTTCTCATTACACAATGTATTAAGACTATTTAAAGAAAAAATATAACTCAAACTTTTGAATTAGACTTAGAATACATTTTATTGCAATCTGAAGTCATGTTTTATGGAGAAGTCACAACTGAAAAAAATGTTGATAAGAAAGTATTTTTCTAACAACAGTTATTAAATAGTTGTTATGCCTACATAGCCTAGGAGTGTTTTAGTATTTTTTCTGAAACAGCTAGGTTTTCCATAGGCTAGTGCCTCATCTGGAACCATCTAACTAATTTATCTTAGCTAATGGTTAACTTCACTAAATGATCTAAATAGAAATGCTTGATGATATTAAAAAAGAAACAAATGTGAGTGATGTATCAGGATGTTTCTATCCGTCATATGATCCATTAGAGAGGATTTAACACAACCTTTCTCTCTGGACGTTGAAAATGTCAGCACATTATAAAAATGGTCATTAAAAAAAAAACTAATACATCTAAATCAAAGAAGTAAATGGAAAAAGAAAAGAATGCAACTTTGTTATAATTGAGTTTGAAGTTTATAACAAAATTTTTTTTAAAATAAAATGTGACATCATTCAGCCACCATGCACCAGTGATATACAAGGAGGTGGATTTCAGCAAAGCAAATAATCAGTTTCTGCAAACCATCAACAAATTTTTTCTGCTTTTTTTTAATTCTTTTAATTCCTTATGTTATATTTCAGTGTCTTCTCATGGGCTGAAATTTATTAAAATAACTAAATGAAATAAAAAGTAAATGAACAGATAAAAATAAAATAGGAGTGGGTTTTAAACAAATTGATTTCTGCAAAGCTCTGTTAAATGTTAAGAAGAAAATGCCACAGCAAAAAGAATACATTGTAAATATGAGACATAACTTTTCATTATTTAACTGGACCCATCATTCATTTTTTTTTGTCTTAAGTATAAATATAATATAAATATAACAAATTTCAAAATCAGCAGTTGGGAAAAATTCTTTTTTTTTAATAGACAGGTATGTCAGCATCAGATGGCGATGCTTCATTATCCCTGTCACATTAAAATATGTTTATCCGCGTCACATAAAAAATATGTTAAATGCAGAAAAAAAATTCAACTGAAATACCATCATAATACAGGTCTATGTTCTACTAGGACTCGGTATTTAACAAAACTCAGGCGTGATCGTGGATTACTCACTTTGCTTGTGTTAACACGTCATAGCCCTGTCTTTCACATTACCCCACTATTAATAAGTATCAAAGGGTACTAAATAAATGTAATTGGTAACAATACAGACAACACAGCATAAAGTAGAATAGACATTTCAGATGCATGGACAACATATCAATACTAGAAGCCATACTTGACACAAGCGAAACATACGAATTCAGCTTTCTCAACTTTTCAACCACAGTACAACAGTGGTCTTCTGAGATTTTTTTTTTTTTTTTTTTTTAAAAAGGAGATAAATCATTTAAAAAACGGAATCAAAAGAAAACTTTGCAAATGTCTTACTAACAGTTATGTTAAGTCAATCTTCAAAGTAAAAAAAAAAAATGATTAAAAACAAATTGAAAAATAATTTTCCCCTCTCTATTAAGTTACTTAAAAATATGGCATGGCTGCACCAAAACAACAGAAAACAAAAATAGTAAATAAAGACATCCATTTTGCATCTCCCATTTCTAATAAATGTAAGTATACATCAATATTTGGCCAGATTGTATTTCTCAACTTGCCTGAATGTACATATTAGCTAAAACCAAACCAATAGGTATAAGCACATTCTCCCACAATGTTACACTACACTGGTAAACAAATGGGCAGTTAAAAATTAATTTTAATGAGATAATGCTGCTGTGACTTGCCATGGCACTTCAAGTGAATAATTTTTCAATGTCAACAGATAAATTGGGGGGGAAAAAAAGGGCTTTTTATGAAACACCGGTGGTATAGGCTCTACAACATGACAGCAAATAATTGAACAACAAAAAGACAACACAGTTTTCTATATCAGGGACGGCTAAGTAAGTAAAAAAATTGGCATGAAGGAAATGCCACTTTTAAAAAGTAGCTTGGAATGAGAAAAAAACAACAACTTTGATAAGAGAATTAAAGGGGTTAAATAAATTCTTTTAAAAGTCACAAAAAGCCCCCCCAATGAAATAATAGTGTCGCCAATAAGCAGCTAACATGAGAATACTAGTGGTGTTGTTTATTTAAATGGTATTATCTTGAAAAAATTAGAACATGTTCTTAAAAAAATGATACTGCCATCCTAAGCAAAGTGTAAAACAAAAAGTTTTGTAGGAGATCAGTTTGATTTAACTTCAGCTGTCATAAGTGTATAAAACGGTGAATATGGTTCACAGTCAATTAAATTATATAACTGATCCATTTTAAATTAAGTATGATTGACTTTGTTATTAAAGCTTGAAGGAAATTAACTTTATTTATTGGATATGATTAATTATAGATAAAGATTACTCTTTATGGAGAAAACCAAGATTATTTCGTTGTAGTAGACTTTTAAAAAAATGTATTACTAATTAAATCAAAGAAAAATCAAAATTTAAAAAAAAATGAATATGATTTGTTGCCAATGAAGAAAAAAATAAGTATGTGTATTCTTTAAAAATATGTTGTTTTTTTCAAAATCACAGCTGATAGCATCAAAGTTATCAAAAGGCAAACAAAAATAATATAAATAAAATTACAAGAAAATAACAAGTAATAGTAATTAGGGAATTAATCATAATATACTGTAGTGTTAAAGTACATCTTAAAAAAACCTTTTAAATTGCAGACTGAAAGGCATTCTAACCATTGGACACATTGGTTTCACTTTTTGGAGGCCTATAACTGAGGCTTGAATGGGCTGATATGTTTTTCCCACTCTTGTTGAAATCCAATGACCGAAGAGATGACACCTGTTAAGGCGGAAAATCCTGGACTAACATAACTCAATCCGCCGAGGGGTATAAAAAGGTCACAAAAGTCTCGCCAGAAGTTCATTCTCACTGAGTGCATTTCAATCTGAGAAAAGCAAGTTTAAATACAATTACAGATATCTGTCAAAAGTAACATTGTTTTTTTTTTTTTAAAAGCAATTCCAGTCTAATCATACGGAAGTGACAGACATTTACGACCCTAAATACACATTTACATTTTGGCAATACATTTTCTGGATGACTATACACAAGAGCCCATAAAGTATTTGGTGAAGACCAATGGGATATGCCCTAGTTGTTTTCAACCAACCCAAGTGCCTCAATAAAACTGCCAGATAAGCTTCAACACAGCACATTATTATTATCATGATACAGTGACTGTGATATGCTCATTGAGTGACAGCAATACAGAGCTTATAAATTAAACTAGGACAACCCTTTATGGCAATCTCCATAGAAACCGTAAATAAACACATTTATAGTATACCATGAGTGACTTAAGTTATTCTTATTTCACATTCTTTAGATTTTTTTGGCATGAGTTGTTTTTATTTGGTGAAGTTTCTGTTTCTCCTACAAAAGATTTGGTGTTAGGCTTGATCAAACATGTCTTTTATTCTTTTAACCTTAGTGAATAAATTCAATTAAATACCACGACACAATATGACCAATTTATAAAAGAGCCCATGCATGTTAAAACAGTCCAAGCCTTCAACATAAAATTAATAAAATTTTAAAAAAAATAAAAATAACATAATAAATAATAAAAATCTTCAACATGCAATAATGTAACAGTAACAGTAAAACATAGTAGAACTATTCAAGGGGAGAATCACTCCAGTCTAATCACAAACCTGAAGCTTTTCAGAGATCTTGGCTTGTTTTCCATTTTGTTTCCGAAACAGATGCAGTTTGTTCTGAACATTTTGAAGTTTAATCATGTCAGCAATACTTGCGGTTGCCAGGGCAACAAGCCACGCCCTCAGGGACCATGACGTCCAAAACATCTGGTCAATCTATTTTTTTTTTTAAAGTACAAGATGTGTTGAAAATCTCTACATTTATTAATTTGACAACAAAATTTTTAATCTTAAAATTATATCGTATACAGAAAAGATGAGGTGGTATTTTAACAATTTGTATTTGGCTTGCCTGTAAGCATGTCCTGGGTGTTGGAAGATGTAATGCTATCAATAAAATGTTGCACTTAACATGCTAATGAGAACTTAATTTTTATCATTCACAAAATAATAAATTAATGCTTCATCCAATCTCATATAATTACATTAATATGCAAAAATAAGAGTTACCACATGTAAGGATCTAGGGACAATTTCAACTTAGTGCTAGGACGAAAATTATTAAAGATTTTAATACAAAAATGATCAAGGTCTGTTGACCTAAAATGCAACAACTCATTCAGATTAATAAGATTCACTACTTTCAATATATGATTTCTGATGAACACCAAACCTAGTGTATGAAGTTTGTGAACTTGAGCAGTGTAGAGGGAAAAAAACAAAACATTACGATGTGTCTAAGGAACATACTTTGATGATGCCCACTTTTCCAAACCACAGCATGTGGTCAATGAGAAGCCAGAGGGCTTTCGTTGCTTGTGAAACAAAAGTTAAAATCCTGAGGTCAACATTCGGCGTGGCGAGGGCCTCTACTGCTTTGTGAGCCAAGTCAACACAATTACCGAGGCGAAACACTGCCAATAAAAATAACAACAGATCATTGGTTGGGCATTTAAAATATAGTTTAAATTTAAAGTACCAGTAGAAGCTTACATACATACATATACACACTCACATACATGTAAATATTTTTTTTTTACATTCACATGTGATGAAGCATTAACAAATATTTTATTTTTATATATATATGTGTAGTATATGTATAAATATATATATTTAGCCCACATAAATAAGCTATAATTCAAGAGATTTTTTCCCCCACAGAACACCAGTCTAGGCCCCATAAACTAAGGTAATTTCTGTTCCTGCCTAAGCTTAATGTCTTTCAATGTTCCCATACATTCTTAACTCAAGATAAACATAATGAAATGGGAACACACATGTTAGCTTGCTAACTAAAATGTTAACCAGAGGTTTAAATATATATTTAAAATAGGGCTAACACTAAAATAATTTTATTTGATAAGGAAACAAAAAGAAGTAAGGACCAAAACAAGTTATTTGCAAAGTTGGCTTTCATGGTTCCATTCATGTTTGCTAAAACAGTGGCAGTAGAATCATATATATAATTGGAGAACACATACTTTTTCAGCACTACGTTAGTTATCCGGACAGAGGATGTTTGGGCCCAGAGGAAATCCAAATTTTTAAGCCACCCACAAATTTCAAAATATATGTATCAAACGTATTTATATCCCCCATGTGAGTGGGGCCCTGAGTGAATTACTCAGTTGCCTCTGCCTGGCCCTGTGTATATTTATTGATATATTTAGTGATCTCAAGGAAAAGATTATCAAAATTGTTTACCATCCCAATATTGCTTTTAAAGGGTCCTTATACACATGTATATTTTTTTTCTGTATTCACATAGATTCAAAAAATCCTGATAGAGCTAAATACCATGAAACATTTCCATCTTCAAAAATAAAGAAAATCCTTGTAACACCCTTGTCAGATCAAAGATTTAAAAATATACAAAAATTGTTGCCTGATTTACATTTGCGCGACAGACCCAATGCTCCTTCTAGCTTACGCAGCCTCGTGATCACTTCTCCTTGAACATCTGGCGAGCCATAGGTGAGCTGCCACAATATCAACCGTGAACCATACTGAACAAATCTGGAAAAATAAACACACAAAAACAATTGAATGTTAATAAACTGTGCACAGGGTGGTAACCATTCAAAAATGATTCACAAAAGAAATAATGGATCTAAACAGCCACATGGGTAAACACAACAATCCCCCAGAAGTATTAGTTTGATTGCAATCTTACTCTTGATGTAAACATTTTTTGTTTTGATTCAGAATATTTAAGGTTTAATTGTTATGTAATGGACTAGATGTTGTGAGCATAGTCATTCCATGGTCATGTTCACTAATCTATTTGATAACTTTTAAAAATCAACTAAACTTAAATTTTGAGATAAACTAAAATTTTAAACATACTGGTATCTAAAAATCAGATGTGAGTAATGGAATAATTGCAAACTGCTTATAGAGAATGGCTACAATTCAAAACTTAAGATTATTATACTACAAAACTCTGTGCAGAGAATGCAGAGGTTATCATGAAATACTGACAAAATGGTGACGTTAAAAGTAGAGATTTAAACAAACATGATCTGTCATGTCAGCCTAATTTTAAGTGTGTAACTGTTGATCTATTGGCATTCCTGGAAAGAAACTTTATCCTAAGCCTTAAATATTTGTTAAATCCTTCAGAACCATAATATTTTTACTCTTATGATGAATGTTCATAAAAAGAAAGTGTATTAATAAGATGGTCATACACTATTGCAAGGGTTCTTAATCTTTTTTTTTCGACACCCCACTACCTCTTTTCTCTCATTTTCAAAAAAATTTCCTGAAGCCCCATAATGAAAAATGCTAATAATAATAAGAATGAAAATAAACTTAATTTATTTTCTGGGTATTCTTGTACTCCGACACTGTCTCCCACATCCCCATGGGTTGCTAGCCTCAATGGTTAAGAACCCGTGCACTACTGAGATTATGAGTTGAAGAGGTGAAAAAAACAACTTTGACCTGTTTTCTATAAATGGGTAATAGAGTCTCTATGCCAAACCTTTTTGCCTGGCCTCATTTAAAGACAACTATTTAATCTAAGCTCATTTAAGATTTTGAACTGAACCCTAAATGTGGCCTTACATCAACTACTGCATTACAGTTGTAGGCTCCTCAGAAAAACATTTGATTCATTACAAAGCCATTAGCACCTATAGTCAGCATTACACTGTGCACAAGTATGGTAATTAACATTTCAATAGGCCCAGGAAGCCCTGAAGAATTCAGTGTTTTGTATTCCCTTGTGTAAGATTGCACTCTAATCTAACCCATTTAAATGATACACAAGCTTTTAGTTTTGACACATTGCTGATAAAAAAAAAATGTGTCAGATATATTGAAGTGATTTACTGATTAAAGCTGGTTTTAAAAATTTAAGATTTGGTGATTATGCAGTTTAGCACTGGAGTCAAACATGGCTACAACTTTGTGTAACAAACTGTGACTCAGATGAAGCAACTCTTAAACCTGAAGTAAAAAGAGAAATGTGACACCTCCAAGATAAAGAAAACGATTTTCTTGCGGTTTAGTGGCAGCTGAATTTCTTAATAGTATTCACTTCTTTTTGGTCAATAATCTTTTTATATATCTTTTAATCTAATATCTTTTTATTACAGCTACAAAAAGTCAAACATACAAATGAAAGCCAATCAAAAAAATTTTTTTTTCTCTATTATCAAATCTTCCTGGTAGAAAAACGGTAGCGGACTCTTGCAGTTCAGATTTTTAAAAAAATAAAATGCGGTACTGGTACTGGTAACAAAGTCACCAAATGTATAACATTCCCTCATGAACATACTTTCTACTGGTATCTCCAATAATTATTATAGACATCCCCACCTGCACTGATCATAATCTTGTCACAACAAAAGGGATTCATGAGATTATAATGAGGTACGGTTTAATGCAGATATAGTCAAGCTCATGCTGCAGGGCAATAATCACGAGATCTAATCACAGAAAGTTAAATAATGTGCATAGCACACCGTGACTTGAATATGTATTTCTAAGCTACACAGACTATGTAATATAATGTGTTTTCTAGCCATGATTAAACTTTGATAGTTTACGGTGTTCTGTCAATTTCTATCATTTTTTTTGTGTGTACCCAGGGACACAAAAACTATGTGACCTTGAAATATGTCATTCTTACATTGGAGCAGTTCATTGTTTTACACATCATGTGACACATGGATTAGTTGTTTGAAACAGTAAAGTTATAAAAAAATTTGTGTAAGAAGTTAGAAGAAGTTTATTATAAGGAAGCTTAGAGAAAATACTGATTATGGAGAAGTATCTGAAATACCCATCCATTTTCTACTCCCAATTCATGAATGGTCTTTCAAAAATACTTCTTCAGATTTATAATGTGTCTACTTCTAATAAGGTCTTATTTTGACCTTCTTGGGATGGCTGGGCCAATAGATTGGCCCAGAGTGTTATGGCGAAAAATACAAAAGGCTGATCTATTGGCCCAATAATAAAAGCTTCAAATTAGCTGGCTGGTCTTTATACCAGCTAATCAGATTGCTTCTCGCATATCTTGCTCATCGTACCATTTTAATTGCAGCTTCCTTTGATAGTTTATGGTGTTCTGTCAATTTCTATCATTTTTTTGTGTGTACCCAGGGACACAAAAACTATGTGACCTTGAAATATGTCAAAAGGCATAAGTAGCTCCAGAAGAATATTTTGTGCAATTTTTTACACTGAATATCATTCAAATATGGTTTAGGACATATTGAGGCTTCAACAATCATAAAATTTAACAAAATTCTTCAAGTAAGTTGTGTTTAATCTAAGCGTAAAAAGACTGCAGGCCTAAATTATGCAAATCAGGAAAGCTCATTTGCATAAATGTTAGATGTCAGTTTGATTCATAAAGAATGTATAAGTTCATTCAATTACGTACGAGATATTTGTATATTTGTAAAGTAATTATTTTTTTTTAATAAATTTTTTTTCAAAGTAAGTGAAAAGCTTGTGAAAGGGGTTCCATCTTCATGGTGTGTCACAGGGCTCAGTTTTAGGATTTATTCTGTTCTCCATGTATACTAGCCACCTCTGCAAAATTATTGAAATTCATGGTATTTCCCGCAAAATATTTGCAGATGACACAGAACTATACAAGTGTTTCCGCCCTGATCCCTTGGAGTGTGCTACTGCTGTTCAGGCTGTCGAGGACTGCTGTCTTGCTGTGAAAGATTGGATGTCATCAAACAGACTAAAACTAAAATTAAATGACGATAAGATTGAGGAAATTATGACGCCAATCTTCTGAAGGTTTCCATTGTATCAATAAAGGTTGGTGCTTCTGAGATCCCATCGTCCAACACTGTCAGAGACCTTGGCTTTTATACTGACAGTAAATTTACATTGATAGTTGTTTGTGGGGTTTACCTCAGAACCAAATTCAGAGACACCAAAAGATACAAAATACTGTAGCACGCATTGTATCGTGGATGAAAAAATCTGACCACATCACTCCAGTTCTACAAGATCTCCATTGGGTTCCTGAGAGTGAGCGCATTAACTACAAAATTCTGTCCATGGCGTACAGCTGCATAGATGGCTCAGCACCGGAGTATCTCAAGGAACTGATTAATAAACATGGATCTTTGAAGCACCAGCGGTCTTCAACACAGTACTTACTGAGTACAAAGACTCACTGAAAGTGGCACTAAAGGCCTTCAGCATAAACCCTACTCAATGGGTGCAGACAGCCCAGGACAGAGCCAGATGGAGAGCTGCTGTCAAGAAGGGGGATAAATCCCATGAAGCTAAGAGAATAACCACAGCTGAGACACGCAAGCTTGTCCAAAAGAGCAACATTAGGTCATCGTCTGAAGCAACTATTCCATGCCCACGGTGTCATAGATTATTCCGAGCAAGGATCGGTCTAACAAGCCACCTAAGAGCTCACCGTAATCCCAACCCCCCCCCCCCCTAACCAACTATTCCAGGCCCACGGTGTCATAGATTATTCCGAGCAAGGATCGGTCAAACAAACCCCCTAAGAGCTCACCGTAATCCCAACCCCCCCCCCCCGCCCGCCCCTAACCAGATGATTCGATGGTCCTTGTCGACTTCGACGGACGAACAACAACTTACTGAGTATTCCTAGTGTGGATTGCGCTCATTTGAAGCGATAGTGCCACAATTATGGAACAGTTTGCTTCAATCTTTGAGGGGAATTGTAAATGATAAAAAATCATTTAAGAAACAATTAAAAACTTTTTTGCTTAAATAGATTTCAGAGGACCAGAACGCAGTGAGCATGCTAAAATGGCATGGATACCAGCGCGATATAAATATAAAATCAATCAAATGGCATTGACAGTTCAAAAAGGGCTCCATCCCAAAAGGGTTAAAAAGGCAACTACAAATCCACTTATTTATATTTTTTAAGCCAATCAATGTCAAGGAAGAAACTTTTTTTTTTTCCTTTTCCTAAGGTATTCACATAGAGTAAGCTAAAGACTAGTGTAGCGCAAGCATATATAATATATTTATCCTGATAAGGACCCAAATAATACATCCACTAAGTGACTAAGTGTAAGCTCACACTATTGACATTGTTACTATTACTAATAGTTAATAGTATAAGTACTATCAGTAAGGAGTTTTTCATACAAATAACTTGTATAAATGTTGATCCTTAAAAATGAAGTCCTAATTTTACACGACCATTATATTAATGGTTTATTGAATTGACTTACTTGTATATTATATGCCTAATCGTTTAAGATATAGGCCTATATGGTGCAACCGAGATTGAGGTTGCTTTTGCCAACTTATGGCTTTGGAAATTTTGGAAGCTAAAACATACTTTAATTCTCTGCGTCTGCATTATTAGTAATTAGCCCATACTTTTTAAAAAAAATATTGCTATTATTGATAAGTCAATTTAGACCGAAGTCAAGTCTAAGACATCAAGTGTACTAGTACTAGACTAGAAGAATGAAAGTGAAAGTAACTCACCGAAACACTTTGTCTCTAGCTGCTGTATGTGATGTGAACATCATAAAATCCTTTGAGATTGCCATATTTGTATTCAATCATACTATTCTTAGGCCTATAAAATATAAATTATAAAGAGTCTTCTTTGCGCCTTTGGTTTTAGAGACGTTTGGCCGAAATTGGAATTGGAAGAAGTCGAGAGAAGGCCTAGTTGAAATAGATTAGGCAACCTGTCACTTAGCTTGTCTTAACCAGCGCAGTTACTAGCTCTGCGGCTTTGCCTGCACAGGGTTTGATCAGCTGCTGGTTACGCTATTGACTATGACTATTGCTACCGCTAATAAAGTAGGCGAATAAAATTAAAATCACCCCGTCTTCATTTTCATGGTTAACAATAATGAACTTAGGTTTCTATCCATTGAAATTTATGAAAAGATACTGGTGTTTTTAAGTTGTTCTCACGAAACAAGGCTTAGTGTCTCTGAACTCGTTCATTCTATAAATGGATCTTCAATACAAACTCGCCTCTCTGTACTAAACTCTTCTACAACTTTAGTGCAACTCTACGTTACACTTCTTATTTAGCTTTTTCGTTTAACCTGACCTTTCAACTACAAGGAAAATAACTCTTATAATAAATCCAGATCTTAGCAGTAAAAAAATATACAATAAAGATAACAAGTTAACTAATTACCGAGACAGTGAAGAGATTTTCGAAATATTATTCAAGTTGCTTTTTAAACGTCAACAAAATTCAAAATGTTGGTTTACAGTTTCAATCATCAAAATTTCCTTGCCCCTGACTTTCCATCTCCTTGCAAGGTCTACTTTCAAAATCCAACCCCTCTACCATTCCAATCCCCATTTTCACTATATTTAATCTCAAATATTATATAACTATCTCCTCAAGAATCTTTCTTCTTACACCTTACAAACCCCTTCACCCTCTTCCCAATTATCTCACCCAACAACTTCTACTCTTTATCTCAAAATCAGGGTTCGAGTCCTGTGGTAACACATCGGAATGGCGTTCCTGTACATTTTCGACAACAGAAGCACCGTTCCCATTAGCATTCCCTTTGTTTTAGAAATTCCATGTGAGGGGAAGAACATCACCCACTGAGTTGTTTATTTTATGGTAAACCGGATCACTTATATTATTGTTACATGTGTTGTGTTCTATTGGCATATTTGTTAATACCTGTATAAAATGACACAAAAAAATTAATTATGCAATTTATTTGCTAACAGTAATAGATAAATATATCTTTATTTCGGGTGTAGGACAGGAATCATAAGTTTTTTTCCAGCAGGACTAGACCTCTTCCCAAACCTAACATATCCCCTCAGCGCTCTACTTCTCCATAATTTTCCCCTGCTTGCTACGTCACTCATTTCCACAGTACCCACCTCCATTCAGTACAAAAATTCTGTTACCGGGTACATAAAATAAGCACAGGAAAATGGCATCAATATCAGGAGCGAAGAGGGCCAGGTTTTATGAGAATGATGTTTCCATCTTAGAATTAATATTAATATTATAATTGGGCATTAATAAAACGGAATTTAGAAGAATGCATCATCTGGTCGGGAAGACAACAAACACACACACAAGACATAAGGAAGGAGTGGTGCTCATCTTCAAAGAGAATAAAAATAAACACGGTCCTGAAACTGGACTGATATCAATGAGCGAACGAATACTCTATACTGGGATTCAATGTTCTCACAATTTTCTGTCTTGGTTGGATAAGCACTTACTGAAGAGGTGGTTGGGGATAATGAATGGAATGATGCATTCTTCAATATTATTTAATCCCATTAGTGGCGTAGAAAAAAAAGAAGGGGGGGGGGTGTTTGGGGCGGCACATTTTTCTTTATTTTGAGGGGCGGCACTTTTGGCCAACTAGGAGTTTTGTTTTTTGTGGAAGGTGATGGCAAAATCTTGGCTAGGACACCAATAACCAAGATACACCATTGCATTTCACACTTGACATTTTCCTCTTAAAATTGTCGACTTCAACAATGCTACAGGTGGACACAAGATGAAGATAGAGAGTGAATGTTACGGAAAGCACTTATGACCAACAAATGGCGAAATAGAGAATAAGCCTTGATTAGTAAACAGCCTTGACATTAGGAGCCACTTGTTTGTCTTGAACGTAAAAAAATTCACTTGTGCTTCACTAAATCGAAGAAAGTGGGTTATGACATCATTGTCAATGAAACATTGAGGTTCCATCTGCAGTGATGTCAGAGGGGTGCGCAGTGCTTGATATCGGTAATAAGGGTTGGGGGGGGGGGGAGAGAGAAACTGCATTCAGGTTAGGTAGAAGGAAGTATGTGAAACAAGGAATTGGAAAACTTGAAAAAAGGACATTTTGTTATGTACTTTTTTCAGGTTTTCCCATACCTTGTGACAGTAGTTATACATATTTCCTTGGAATAGGTTCCATCTGCAGTGATGTCAGAGGGGTGCGCAGTGCTTGATATCGGTAATAAGGGTTGGGGGGGGGGGGGGAGAGAAACTGCATTCAGGTTAGGTAGAAGGAAGTATGTGAAACAAGGTATTGGAAAACTTGAAAAAAGGACATTTTGTTATGTACTTTTTTCAGGTTTTCCCATACCTTGTGACAGTAGTTATACATATTTCCTTGGAATCGTTAGTGGCTACAACCATTTAGTGGTACAGTTAAAAATTACACCTAGGAAGGCAAAAAGAGGAGGCAGACACAGCATCTCATCAAAGAAAATATAATACTATACCAGGCTTAACAATGGACAAAGCCAGGGACATTCCTGCAAGTAGTGAGCGGGACTGCAATCACTTATGAGAGGGGCATGTTAAACCAGTGGAAGCAACATTTTAAAAAGTTCTTTAACTTTAACCGCACTGAAACTCCAGCACTCAAAAACATGCTAAAGCTGAATATGAAATAATATTAATTTATCTATTAGTACCACTGATGAAGTCAAAGGAGCTGTACACCAACTGAGAAGTGGCAAAACATCACAGATGACATCATCTGCACAGTAAAGCGTAAACAAATGAGTAGATAATTCCAGTGTGCATCAGACTAAAAGACATCATTAGAGAAACTACGGAGATTGGTTTTTAAAACTTTACTTTAATATCTGATTCCATATAAATACACATGTAGTTTAGACACAAAAGCTTAATAATTGATCTTAATTTCTAATAATAAATATTACATAAATAAGATTTTTAATTGAATCATGCCATTTAAAAAAAAAAAAGAATAACTACTTTGAAACACACTTGCACAGTCTCAAGAACATTAATATTACAATTAACATTTTTATTTTGAAAAAATGTTATGATGAGGAAGTTTGAATTCAATAATCATTACAAGTACTTAAATTGAAAAATTTAAATTCTTTGCATTTTATTACAAGTTAAATATAATTAAAAACGGATTTTAAAAAAAAATTGAGATGGTTTAAAATAGTGTATTATTTACATTATAAATCTTAATTATTGTATTTAACTAAAACTGAAGGTGGTTATACAAAATAAGGGTAAAATAAGCCATCTTGAAGTTGGGTCATATATTTAATTTTAGATAAAATAGATGACATTCTCTTCATTTATAAAAAAAAAAAATCTTCTTTGACAATCTCATGGATACAAGTTCAAATAATGTGATGATCTCTAAATTGAGACAGGAGTCTTTCAGATAATACATATATCTTTCATCATCCAGGTACAGTATAGAAATATTTTTTTTTTTAAATGGTGGCCAAAAGGAAAAAAAATAATTTTGTAAATATAATAATATGGGGTGGTTGACCTGATCCGAAGAATTATAAGCTTGCATTTAAGATAGGGTGACCAAATGTCCCATAACAACGGGATTGTCCAGTTTTTTCACGATCATACCGGTTGTCCCGAAAAAGTCTCTTGGGATGCCTAAATTTCCCGTTTTTTAAACCAAACACATTTTCTAATCCCTAAAACTTCCTAATTTATTATATAACTTCAAGTATCATTTGGGCTAGCTGTGTTGCCAGTGCCAGTTGCGATGTGGGCTTGGGTGATGGCTGCACTGTTCCCCCTTCATCAGTGTCCCTGCCATAGATCTTATATGTAAATGTATAGCGAAAGACAAGAGACTTCAAGCCGCAAAGGGGGGGGGGGGNGGGGGGGGGGGGGGGGGGAGGATGTAGCTGTGTAGAGCAATTTTGATTCCACTACCGCTAGCTACGTGTTATGTGTGATCCCTACCCGCCTGTTCGTGTCAGAGTGACAGGTGTTTGTTTTAGGTGTTGAACTTCATTCTTTAAATTTTATATTATCTTCTCAGAACAATAATTATAATCAAGCCTCAAGCTTGTGGCGGAGTATTCCAAAGGGTAGAACTATATTAAAAAGGGACGCTATGAAAGTGAAGTCGAGTGTACAGTTTGCAATAATGTTTTTAGTATTGGTCATGGTGGACGTTCAGACATAAAACAAAACATCACATCAATGAAATATAGAAAAAGACTGATTGCCCCAAGGAGATTTCTAGGTTAGATATTTCAATAAATAGTTTCCGGTGGAGGTCACCAGACCCTCTTTTGCTGGAGGGTATCCCCCCCAAAAAAATAAAACTTCCTTGAAAGCGTCCGGTTTTTTCTAAATCATGATTTGGTCATCCTAATCTAAGATGATGCACTTTTTTTTCAAACTGAACACAACACTGACAAATTTTGTATTTTAGAAAGTGTTTTATTTTTTTATTAACAAGAACAAAGTTCTTTATAAAAACAATGATGTTCAGTATAAAACTAAAAGTAGTTGTATTAAATTGTTTTTTTTTTTATCAGACAATATCAGCAAATTTAAGTTAATAAAAAGTATATGCAAATTAAGAAAAAGTAAGTTACTTTAACATAAAAAATGTATATTTAAAGAGAAAAGGATGGATTAAATTTTAAGAGTTACATGACAATAATCTGTATATAGAAAAATAGTAAATTATTTCTTGTTTCATGTTTCTTCCACCAGCATCAATAGAAACCAGTGAAAAATAGTGCATAATTTAGGTGGCCTACATTGGATTTATATCTTTTTAACAAGCTTTTTCTGTTCCAATGATTGTGTGGGTAAGGGCACTAAATCAGAATAGTAGTGATATTGTAAGTCCTCCTCTGGAGTTGCAGCCCGATTCTCCTGATATTCTTCAACTCTGACATTCACACTGTAATATAAAAAAGTAATTTGTATGTGTAAGTGTAATTGTAATGGCTATTGCACACGTTGTAATACACTTTAAAAAAATATTTTCAGTGTTTCTAATTATGTAACTCAAATATCCATAGCATCTATCTGAAGTAAAAATATTTGGATATCAAAACGTTTCATGTTAATTTTGTTTTAGAAATGTTCTAACATCTTTGAAAAATGGAAATATTCTTCACAAAATAAGTTTAACAATAACTCGCCACTGGGTGAATGTTTCACAGTATTAGTAATTTAAGACATTTTATGTTAACTTTATTAATTAATTTTCCATAACTATCAATATTTTAACAAGTATTTTGATGTTGCACGCACATTCAACTCTACAAGAATGTTTATGGTTAAACTGGTATTAATTAATCTCTACTTC